CGGGATAAAATGTAAACAATTCAGTCTTTCTTTTATTATATGTCTATGTTTACCACGGACTACGGACTACCGAGCGATGGCGTCGGGAAACCTCGCGGATCGCAAATCACCCCCCACCTCACTACCCGACGGATTTTGTTGAAAATCTTTTGGCTGAAGAAGCCAAAATCTTTCCAGCAATAACTAAAAAAACTTATAAAAAACTTTTTCATAGTTGCAGGCATGCACTTTGCCGCGGTAGAAAACATACTTGTGTTTCTACTGTATCAGAAAAAAACCATTAGTGGCAAAAAAATTTTTTACTGTTACAGCAAAGTGACATTATGCTTACATAGTAAAGTGCATCCTACAACTAGAATAGGATTGTTTTGCAATTTCAGCTAAAATTTCTGCTATCATAGCTGAAAATATACTAGTAACGAATTTTTGGCTGGAAGTTCTCAGTGCGGTGTGCAGTTCCTGAACTCGCCCCAGAGATTTTCCAGACATTATCCAGACTTATTCAGAGCTTTCCGGAGTTTTCCAGATTTCATCCAGATTTATCCAGACTTGTTCAGACTGATCCGGATTCTAGAAAATGATCCCCAGGTCTTTTGGGACCTTTGGCAGAATTTTTCCGACCCTTTCCAGAAATTTCAAGGTTCTTTCCAGACGTTTCCAGAGATTTCCAGACTTTTCCGGGCTTTATCCAGATTTATCAAGACTTGTCCAGACTTGCACAGACTCTTCCAGACCATATCCAGTCCTTTCCTGACCTCTCTGGACTTCTTCCAAACACTAGCCCGACTTGTTCCAGCTCACTTAGCTTGTTCCAGGTTCTTGTTCATACACTTCCGAAGAGTCCAAAAGTTCGCACGCATTCCTATGTGCCCGTGCGATAAACATTTTCAGTGTTACTTACAAACAAACAAACAAACATACATACAGTTGAAGCTAATAATAAAAGCGTGTTAAAAAGCGTGTTAAAAAAAGCTAGACACAGAAATCTGTGGATAATCAACGGGTCGCAAAGCTACACCCTCTAACAAGCACCAGCCGCTAAATGATAATAAAATATTTTAAATTAAATCTAAATGAGCGGGCCGGTGAGAGTCACGGCAACATCGCAACATGAAAACTCCACTAAACTCGCACCGACCGGCCGGTCTTAGTGGGGACAACAATTAATTAGGCGCGAGCAGAGAAAAATTTAAAATAATGTTACGATAACGCTGACGCCAGAAGAACGGCGTCCGCCAGGCTGTCAAGACTCCTATGCCTGTCGAATATCCTAGAATCTAGCGAATTATTCTACTATAATCGAGAAAATTAGATTATCGTGTGTGTTCTAGATTTTACAGGATAGATTTAGGGATATATAAAAGGCCGCTATTGCTTTGTAGTTTAAGTTTCAGTTCGATTGTGATACGATTTAAATAGTGATTATTGTAAATAGTTTCACCTACGAGCGTGCGGTAAAGTACACTTAACCGCACTCATTTGCAAATGGAAAGTGGCACTTTACCGCATACTATGCGGTAAAGTAGACTTTTCTATTTATGATTAAAAATCCTTTCTTTTTCAGAAAATGGATTTTTGTTCATTTCTAAATCTAATTTTATTAATTAATCTGATTCATTATTTAATTTTATCAATTCCTTTTTTTGGAGATGTAGATGCTCATAGGTAAAATTTTGTACCTAACACATGCGGAAAGTCGCGTCGTTCGGTCAACTGCCGTTGCGTGCGGTAAAGTATCACTTTCCGCATTTGTTAGGTAAATAACTATAATTGTTGAGTTAGTTATTAAAGTAATTAGTGTCAGAGTGTATTGTTACGTGGAATAAATTATTGCTGTGTTAATTGGACTTTGATTTTTCGAATAAACGAAACGAACCCAAGATTTCTGTCAGGCAAGCCAAAGCCGTGACAATTGGTATCAGAAGTGAGACATAGAGGACTGCAGAGTGAAATTCAATTGCGGAAGTGCGGGGACACTAGTGTAGTGTAAAAACTGAACACCAAGTGAACACTGGGACAGTTAGTGCAAACAGTGACAATCACAAAAAGAGACTTAACCGATCCTGTGAATTACCCCGGAAGTGACTCTATACCCGAATACCCGATTTTGACTGTGATAGTGAATCTTCGAGTGAGTTCTAGAAAATTCTATTTGGAAACTAATAGTCCGGGAGGTGGTCTCACTTTTGGACTAGTGATCGATCTTCACACGAATTTTTCAGTGTGCGTAGTTCTCCACATGAACATATGAGATCCGCGCGTCAGTCAGTCCAATAGCGGTGAGTGTGGGTGTGGGAGTCTGTGGAACTCGTCGGAAAAACTATAGAAAAAAGTTAATAATCTGAACATGAAAATTTGTTACAATGTTAATTATTGATAATTAAACGTGAAAATGTTCGTCAGTCACGCTTCCGACTGGGGAAACATCGTCAGTCAGAGGTTTGAAGGAGTCGGAAAAAAATCTCATGCATATTCAATAAACAATCGTCAGTCGAACTGCATAAGATGCAGCGCGCCAAAGAAACCTGGTCACTGCCCTCGACTTTGGAAACCCGACTTACGCAGAATCCACCATGATAAAGGTGGCTGACGTTCATTTTCATGCTTGATTTGAATCAAATATTCAATCCACAAAATTTTAAGTGAAGATCGAACACTTGAATTTTCCAACTTTTCCGACTGCTTCAAACCTCTGACTGACAATGTTTCTCCCGTGGAAGACGAATATTTTCACGTTTAATTATCAATAACTAACATTCTAACAAATTTTCATGTTCAGATTATTTACTTTTTTTCATAGTTTTTCCCATGTTTTTCCGACGAATTCCTCCCGCACACACATCCACCACGGTCGCTCTGACTGACTTTCAATTTTGATCACAGTAATGGTGAAACTCTTCAATAAATCACATTTGAGTCGGAGATAAATCACTAATAAAAAAGTGACACTACTCTCGGACTAAAACACTCTGTTTGAATAAAAGCATTTAAAGAGTCAACTGAGGATGGCTCGTGTAAGGTGATTGGTCGTAAACATGTGGATGGGGGCACATTGTTAAATGCTATTATCATGTTATGGATAAGCGATGCCATCTTAAATAGACCTTTTCCGTTTAAATATATGCTGCTTCGAAGATAATCTGAGTATCTAAGCCTGCTAAACAGATCAAGAAAATTAATGTTTGACACAAACCTTCTAAGATTAAAAACACTTGAACAAATCCCTTCATTAACATACTTAATGTTCTTAAATGACACCGCTCCTTCGTATTTGGCGGGTACGGAACATAATAGCAAATTTGTGTAGAAACATTGGTTTGCAAGAAAAGAGATGTCTTTTAGTTTAACATCAAAGTTATTTGTCCCTGCCAGAACTATAACAAAGTCTCCAGTTGATAACTCGGACAAGGTAGAGCTTAGGTCACAGGTCACTTACAACTCCTCTAAAAGAGGCATTGGGTTTATAGTCGTTCCTTAAGTCTTTCTTAGAGGTCTTGAGTTTAGAATGGAAACTTTGCTACTTGTTAGTCATGTCAATTCTAAACGTTCAAGGCTTCCTTGAGGCCCGAGGAAACCTCAAGGAGCGACTATAAATTCGGCCCTAAGACATTATAGACGGAATCTCTTAAAAAGTACTTTTAGTTTTGTTAGGTTGGCAGTAGAAATTCACTAAATATAACGTAAAAATCTTATAGAATCTTGAGTAGAAACCAAAATTGAAATATGTGATATATAAAGAGGGCGTCTTATTTAAGCAACTTGTTGACGTCTACTTCCGGTATAACCGGAAATGCCATGCACCATATTTTAGCCGGATTGACCGATCTTCCATTTCGGCGGTCTGTTGTTTTGTTTTTCCGGTAGATGAAAATCTCTTATTCCACCTCTGACACCAATAGTTGATATACCTTCCTAAGCGGATTCGTAGTCCGTACATCAGTGAGACACCTCTTCCAGAAATATATAGGTAATTTATTACCTTTATTCAAGACAATAAAAAATAAAGATCACGATGAGACTTGCACTATATTATAGCACTTTGACACCCTGATTTCTAACTATAATTCATCACTAACTCTCTCTCGACTCCGTTTTATAGCGCGTTGTCGCCACTTGAATTGTCTAAGTATTTCGCTTCCGCTCGTCTCGAATTCGCTGGTATGCCACAGTAAAATTTCATTCGCGAATTTTCTGGTCATCAGGCAGTGTTGCAAGATTGTCCAGAATTTCCCTAATCTGAGAGATTTACCGTTTGCATTAACCGTTTTATGAAAGCCTTAACGATAAGTTGCCCTTAAAATGACATTCTTACATGGGGAAATCAGGGAAATGTCACTTGGAGAAATACTCATAGTAAAAGGCTTCCTCAAAATGGCTGGTGCAAAATGTAAATTATAACAATACTTCGATTATTCCCAGCTAAAATATAAATATCTATTGAATTAACCACTTCTGACTTCTGCAGATCCATCTTCAATTTTTTACATTTCTGACATAGACGCACGTCAAAGTCCTCCGACTGGCCTGTCATATCATCATAGCCCCATATAATTATTCCTAATAATGTCTATTGGTAAATGTTAGGGACTATTTCAAGGCTTTCCAAGAATAGCAGGTACTATTTTCGAATAATATATTACAATAATTTTAATGTTCTAGAATCGGCGCAATTAATGCATATCCATTCACTTATGTTCTATACATTCCTCCCATATCAAAATGATTCAAGTTCAATGAACTTTTGATATCCATCCAAACAGTTAATTAGTTTAGAAAATGCATCTCTGCACTCAGTGTTAAGACAAAATTAAATTGAAACGTTTGAAGAAGTTAAATGCCAAGTTACTTTTTGTTGCTAATTTATTATTTTTTTGGGTTTATCAGGTTGGTATTATACTCGGTATTATTTATATGAGATGAGTGTGTGTAAATATTTATAAAATGCGTTTTTATCTAAGTATCACAATGCTTTTCAAGATAGAAAGCTACAAGTGTTTATTTTAATCTTGATTTTTACTAATAATGATGTTGTCAACAATCTTGACTTTGACTTAACTTACAACATATAATAGGTTCCCACAGTTCATTGGTTCCCACTTTCAATCGAGCTTTTAACATTGTTCACAGCCTAATTATTATTACAATACTAATATCACCAACTATTTAATTTTTGTTTTCATAAGTCTTCTATCGTGTCCAACATTTTGTACGGCATCGAACCTAAAAATGGAACCGATAATCCTGGTCCATGGAGGTGCGGGCGATATTCCCGATTCCAGAGTCCAGCCCAAAATCGATGGGAATAAACGGTCAGTAGCGGCGGGATACGAGATCTTACGACGCGGTGGTAGTGCTTTGGATGCTGTAGAGGCTGCTGTAAGGGTTATGGAAGATGATGAGGCTTTTAATGCAGGTAAGAACTTACATCATTGTATTTATAGTATTCCTATACATAAGTATTGTTTACTTCAACAAGTTAATATACCCATACCCCATACCCCATACCCTATGTGAGAATTCCACGAAATATGGTAGGAACTTCTGAACCTGGGGCAGTCAAATTCGCAGTTTTCCTGCAAACTAATCTAACTTAACTTTTTCAAATCAAATAACTAATACAGTATTTTGATCATCGCGTTTCATTTCTCGTTTCAACAGTATAAGGTATCTCAACTTTTTAAAATTCTATTATGATTCAATTCTAAATCTTAATAATTTTCTCGAATATATATTTTTTTAAATACCTCTTCTTAAAATGTGTAAGTAGAAAATTAGAATACTACTGGAAAAATTTGGGTCCGGGTTGTACCGTACATTGGGGTTACTTTGCCTAAAGGGGTAACTTTGCCAAGCAATGCATCTATTATAAAAATAAATGTTTTTACGTGAAAGTGACAACATCGCAAGCCTAGTAAAACACTTTCCGTTCTCTGTTAGAAGCCGGTGCATACATCCCGCGCTTTTGTGAGTGTCAAACAAACCCAGTTAAAACTGTATAAGATATTTTTTATTTTGCCAAAATTGTCAACTTTCAGAAGCTCTGCTATACTAAGGTGTGTACTACCAATATTACATAAAATAGAAACTTGAAACTTGAATATGTTTTTTGTGTAGCTTTTGACGTTATAACCATTATAAAACGATGTTGCCAAGTTATCAAAAAAAACTTGGGGCAACTTTTTTTTTTTTTTTTTGTGGCTCTGGTTAAAACCAACTGGCCAGTATCTCTCATTGTTAAATTGACCACATTCGACCACAAATTCACTGAGATTGAACAATTTTTTGAACTTATACTACATACTAAAATAATAGTTGGGGAGCTGGCGTCAAAAACATGCAAGAGTTTTCGCAAGGCGGATATTTTCAAAATAGGTCGTACTTTAGTGCTAGAATGCTAGTGTACAGTCAGCACTCACAGTTCCGGGACAGCTGGCTCTGGGACGCGGGCAAAGTTGTAATTTTAAGAAGCATCTAAACTGTTTTCTCAAAGCTCAAAATTTATAGAAATTTTGCACATTATCTGTTTGAAGGTCACAGATAACGTATGTAAATCGTCAGACGTCTAGTTCGTTGCAAAAAGGGGGTCAGACGTCCTCAAAGTTTTAATTTTATGGCATTTTCTTCGGTGTCCTGTCAAAATATATTTTTGCAGGTATTTGACAAATATATTTGAAGAAAATGCCATAAAATAAAAACTTTGAGGACGTCTGACCCCCTTTTTGCAACGAACTAGACGTCTGACGATTTACATACGTTATCTGTGACCTTCAAACAGATAATGTGCAAAATTTCTATAAATTTTGAGCTTTGAGAAAATAGTTTAGATGCTTCTTAAAATTACAACTTTGCCCGCGTCCCAGAGCCAGCTGTCCCGGAACTGTGAGTGCTGACTGTACACTAGCATTCTAGCACTAAAGTACGACCTATTTTGAAAATATCCGCCTTGCGAAAACTCTTGCATGTTTTTGGCGCTACCTCCTGGACTATAAGCATAACCTACTATCTACTTGTTACAGATTACTTTTCGTCGTTTTTTTTTTTTTTACTCTTTGATTTTTTGTCTTTTCTTTTTTTTCCTGCTTTTTTTCCAATAAATTTTCCTATAGTCTTTCAGTGTTTCAAGTTTTTTTTGTTTTTTGTTTTTTTTTTTTTTTTTAATATATATATTTTTTTTTTTATTTTTTTATTTTTTTTATTTTTATATTTTTATTTTTTTTTATTTTTTAAATTTCAATCTTAGCAACTAATATAAATTTATACAGGGCGCTGTATATACTAAAATTATTCGATATTAGAAAAGATTTTAAGTTGAATGGAAATACAACCAGGACTTTTAAAATATTGTATAATAAATACATGTTATAACATGAGACAAACATCCCAAGATACTGTGTTCCAAATCCCCTATATCTCCACATTCGCAGAGTTCACTCTCCTGTAATCCGTAATAATTTTTTATAAGTAGGAATTAATGCATGACCACAACGAATGCGAGACATAGTTCTTATAAAACTTCGGTTCGCTATTCCGACAAACCAAGCCTTTTTATTAATTTCTGGAAACATATTTTTAAATAAAAGTCCCTTATCAATAAGGTTAAAGTTCTCCTGCCAGCATTGGTATAGCTTAGACTTCGACAAATTAAAATAATCTGAATGTGGTATTTTATAATTTTCAGCAAAACTTGGGAGATTTGTTGCATCCTTAGCTAGTTTGTCTACAATTTCATTATCCTTTATGCCAATATGAGCCTTGATCCAAACAAGATGAACACATTTACCAAATCGTTTGAGTGTTGTACAGGTATTAATTATTTTTTTAACAATATAATTGGCCGGCGTTTTGAAGCTACAATTGTCAATTGCCTGTAAGGCGCTTTTGCTATCAGTAAATATGGCAAATTGTGTATTACCTTCATATTTGATACAATGTATCAGCGCTTCCCATATAGCCCATAATTCTGCTGAGAAAATTGATGAACCGTTCAACAGCCTAAACTGTTTATATGTATTCTTATTTTTGTGGATGAAAGCACACCCTGTTCTACCATTGATAACCGATCCATCGGTATATATATGCTCTGAGTTCTTATAAATAGTATTTTTCTCCAAACGTCAAAAAAACGTCACTTTGTCAGCACCTGTCAAGATGTTAGAAATTTAATTTCTATGCTGGTAGGCAAATTCAGCGGGTTAATACCTGTCGAAGTGGTCGAAATTTAATTTCTATGCTGCTAGGCAACCGCAGGGGCAGTAGAAGTACTTTTAGTGCCGCTGGAGCGGCAGCAAAAGTACCTTTAGTGCCGTTCGTACTTTTACTGCCGCTTAACTTCAGTTACCCCCGAGCTTACCCCATTCGTTTGGAGAAAAAATAGCATATTGCATACGGAGTAGAAGCACTTTTTTGTGCTTCAGCAGTATTGCAAGCCTCACTACGTTCGGCTCGCAAACCTACTGCTTCAGCACAAAAAAGTAAAGCTTCTACTCCTAATACAACAATATACTATTTTCTCCGAATGACAGTAAAAGCGGCCTTTTAATGACACTTGACAGGATCAAAAGTTGTATTTTTACTGCCTAGGCAGTAAAAGTGGACTTTTACTGCCTAGGCATTAAAAGTGACAGTCACAACGTTCCAGGTAATAATTTCACTCAATTTGGTATTTGAAATTGATGGTGACAATGACAATTGTCAAAATAATTTAATTATTTGGATAATAATAATGAATGAAATAAATATAAAAAAGATGTCCATGTGTGAATTTGAACATTCGGAGAAAAAATTATATGTTTTACATGGCAGAAAAGTAGATTTATTGCCTCGGCTGGTTTCCTAGCCTCGGCTATGCCTCGGCTATGAAACACCAGCCGCGGCATTAAATCTTGTACTTTTCTGCCTAGTGAAAAAAATAACTATTTGATCTTTTACACAAAGATATTTTATAATTAATGGTTCTTCACTGTTATAATGCTTTATTGTTATTTTGGGTATATCATAATAGTACATTATATACCTAGGTAGAGAAGTTGGTCATTATATACCGAGCGCTTTTATAAACCGAGGCGCGGAGCGCCGAGGTTTATAATGCGTAAGGTATATAATGACCTTCTCTACCGAGGAATATATAGAATTTTTTTTACTACTGCTAGTAGAAAATAAAAAATAGGTTGTAAATCTGTGCTCAAATAATTTTTTCTTGTCGGAAGTGCTGCGCTCTATCAACAGCTTATTGTAATTTTCTATAATATACATACAGGAACCTGCTTTGTTTTAAATTGACAGTGTATAAAATTGAAATTAAACCAATAGAAACCTGTTACGTTATGACAATATCCTTGCGTCATGACGTCATTTTCATTATTGACCTAGGTATTTTTTCATTATTTTCATTATTAACCTAGGGAGAGAAATTCAATTTTTGCCCAGGAAAATAGATTGAATAATGACTATTTCTCAAGTTAGTAGTAAAAAAAGAAAATTATTGGACAGCTGGAAGTATGGTGCTATTTTCGAAGAATAGATATTTTCTTTATTATGGGCTATCCAAGAATAGCTATTTACAAGTAGAGGAGATTTTTTATGTTTCCAAAAGGAATGCGTAAAATTTAATACTGTAAGATGATGAATTTTTCCTACTAGATCGCTATTTTTTGAAATGAGTTTTAATAGAAGTTTATTGGCTAAATGATTTCGTCGTAGTGTTAGAGGTGGTTCTCCAGTTTCTGCTTCCATTACTGCAATGGGGGTGCTTCTAAGATATCCTACACAATGTCTTAGACATTTGTTTTTGGCTACTTCAATTTTATTAAGGTGAGTATTAGCGGTTGAACCATACAGTTGGCATGCGTAGTCCAACATAGACCTAACATACGCCTTGTAAAACATTAATAATATATTTGGATCAGCTCCCCATTTCTTGTGGTTGAAAACCCTTAAAATGTTTATTCCATTTTCAGCTCGCTTAATGAGATAGTTAATGTGGTCTTTCCATTACAGCTTTTTATCAAGTAAAACCCCAAGATATTTGACGGTATTTTTACATGAAATCTGGAGTCCTGACATTTCTATTTCATTAGGTAGGTTTGTTCTTTTCCTTGTAAATATACATATCGATGTTTTTTCTGCAGAAATGCTTAACCCATTATTATTAAACCACTGTAGGGTTTTTGAAACCTTGGGTTCTATTTTACTGTTGCATTCTTCTATTGACTTGTCCTTTGAAAAAATACAGACATCATCTGCAAATTGAAGAATTTTGACTTGATTATCAAACAGTTTTTCCAGGTCGTTAGTATAAATTATATAAAGAATCGGGCTGAGAATTCCTCCTTGCGGTAACCCAACTTGAGCCATCCGTGCTTCTGTAAGTCCATCGGATGATCTTATATTATACGAATCGATTGCTATATATTG